GCTTGCGTGATCCAACTTCTGTTCTTGGTCACATTCCCAGCACACATATTGTTACAACCACTTTGATAACTTTCATTCCCAGCACACATGTGTTGTTACATCCACATTGATAACTTTCATTCCCTGCACACATGTGTTGTTACATCCACTTTGATAACTTTTCATTCCCAGCACACACGTGTTATTACATCTACATTGGTAACTTTCATTCCCAGCACACATGTTGTTACATCCACTTTGATAACTTTTCATTTCCAGCACACATGTTGTTACGTTCGCTTTGATAACTTTCATTCCCAGCATACACGTGTTGGTACATCCACTTTAATAACTTTCATTCCCAGCAATCACGTTGTTACGTCAGCTTTGATAACTTTCATTCCGAGCACACACGTTGCTACATGCATTTCGGTAACTTTTATTCCCAACTCACACCGGCTGCATTTACTTCCCAGGACTGCACCTGGTACCCACTCAAGGCTGTGTCGACTTAGGAGTCATTGTCGGGTTTTTTTTTAAGTAAAGAAAAAAAATTATGGTTTTGTCAGGACCCAAATCTACGACCTTACGAACCACAAGCCAGCTTCTAGCGACTCTTATCTATTACTATAACGCTAAAAAAAGAGTCCTTAAGAAAAAAAAAAAAGGAGAAAGTTGTTGTACTCTTGTAATCCCCCTGTGTTGATTATGGGCACAAAGAGCGCTTGTTTAGGTTAATTCTTGTAATTTTTCTGGCACTGATACTTCTTAGTATCTAGAAGAGGAGAAAAACAAGTATGTAGGTCTAGGCACGACCGGCTCAAGCTGACGGGACGTGCTGCTGACGTCACCGGGTCAGGCTAATGATGCGTTCGAGCAGCGGATCTCAAACTGAGAACCCCGAGGGAGCTGTGAGCGTATGCCAGGGGTGCCGCGGCAATAATTAAGAAAAGTCAGCTCAAAATTGTGAATTTTTTAAAGAAAGCATGTAGATATTTTAAAGTTAACATTTAAGTTGTCTTCTCTCGCCAGTGTCGAAAATAGTTTCTTTCTTGTTTGAGAACCGCCACGTTAACGCATCGTTAGCCGGATCCGGTGAGCTGCAGTCGGTCGTGGTTTAGGGTGCCTATGCTGACATGCACTGGATCTCCCCTCGGTGGATGTGCTGCTAATACTTGCCGTCCTGTATAATTCAACAGCTGAGCACACTTGCTCCAGCGCCAGCAAATCCTACTGTGACTGTCTCCAAAAGTCTATAACAATAACGACTTGTGACAGGCCACATAAACTTCAATATCATTCAAATAAAGTACACGGCACAAGATGACGATGAAAATATATGTACGATAATAATTCTCAATGATAAAATTAACGTTGGTCTCTCCATTTACACAGCGTTTACACACTAGCTCACTTCTGATTGGTAGACCTTGAGCCATGTAAAATTGGCACAAGGTTACGGGGGTTTTCCACAATGCCGTTGATATCGTGTTTTGTATATTTCAGCACGCCAGCACTTCTAAAACTCCAAAAACATGAACAAACTGGGTATAACACAACCTCCCTAGAGAGAGCTGCAACCTATTTCACAGGCATTTTCTTTCTCAGAAGAAAAAGGTAAATGCGATACAATCCAGAAAGCAAAAAAGACAGAGCAGCACACCCGTAACCTGCAGGAAAGTAGACCAGCCCAACAAACTTGCGAATGAAGCGTGACCTACTTTATTTAGGGAGACTAACGTAAAACTAATCAGTCTATATTATTTCTACTGGCGATCTAAACAGTTACATCACTTTACTCAGTATAGTCCCGCTAACTCTAGTAAAACTAACAAATCCTCGCTAAGAGAAACGGCACAACAACGACATTAGAGAACTGACCACACAGCCTTTCCGCAAACTCGCGGAACACAACGTCCGACCGCGACGGTTAACAAAATCTCAACTGTCTCCTAACTGACTGCACTTTTCAATTATGTTCCTACAATTCAATTAAGTCTATAATTACATTCACCTGTTCTAATAGGGTAATATATTTTCAAAGTAAAACACTAATTCATTCTCTAACATTTGTACCTGTACCTGCTCTGTACTGTACCTGTACTGTACCTGTTATGTACTGTACCTGTACCTTTACTGTACCTGTACTGTACCTGTACTATACATGTACTGTACCTGTACTGTACCTGTACCTGTACCTGTACCTGTACTGTACCTGTACTGTACTGTACCTGTTCTGTACTGTACCTGTACCTGTTCTTTACCTGTACCTGTACTGTACCTGAACCTGTACTGTACCTGTTCTAACCTGTACTGTACCTGTACTGTACCTGCACTGTACCTGTACCTGTACCTGTACTGTACCTGTACTGTACCTGTACTGTACCTGTACTGTACCTGTACTGTACTGTACCTGTACTTGTACTGTACCTGTTCTGTACCTGTACCTGTTCTGTACCTGCACCTGTTCTGTACCTGTACCTCTTCTGTACTGTACCTGTACCTGTTCTGTACTGTACCTGTAGTGTACCTGTACCAGTTCTGTGCCTGTACCTGTTCTGTGCCTGTACCTGTTTTGTACCTGTACTGTACCTGTACCTGTTCTGTACCTGTTCTGTACCTGTACTGTACCTGTACCTGTTCTGTACAACATTCTCAAACAATCTAATCACAAAAGTATACTTTCTATTACAACCTTATGTGTGCTGTACGACTGTATAGGACTAAAACAAAGTGTTGTTTACATGTACTGTACCTATACTGTACCGTACCTGTTATGTACCTGTACCTGTTATGTACCTGAACTGTACGTGCACTGTATTGTACCTGTACCCTAACCCTGCACCTGTTCTGTACCTGTACTTGTTCTGTACCTGTACTGTACATGCACTGTACTTGTACTGTACCTGTACCTATTCTGTACCTGTACTGTACCTGTTCTGTACTGTACCTGTTCTGTACTTGTTCTGTACCTGTACCGAACCTGTGCTATACCTGTACCTGTTCTGTACCTGTTCTGTACCTGTTCTGTACCTGTACTGTACCTGTAATGTAGCTGCTCTGTACCTTTACTGTACCTGTACTCTACCTGTACTGTACCTGTTCTGTACCTGTCATGTATTGTACATGTACATGTACTGTACGTACATGTACAGTGCCTGTTCTGTACCTGTACTGTAACTGTACCTGATATGTACCTGTACTGTACCTATACCTATCTGTACCTGTTCTGTACCTGTACTGGACCTGTTCTGTACCTGTAATGTAGCTGCTCTGTACCTTTACTGTACCTGTAATCTACCTGTACTGTACTTGAACTGTACTTGTACTGTACTTGTACTGTACCTGTTCTGTACCTGTAGTTACATGCACTGTGCCTGTACTGTACCTCCACTGTACCTGTACTTCTGTACACCACCATCTTGCTGATCCACCCCTTTGGGCATATTGGTGTATATAGGGCTAGATCTATATTTCACACCAACCGGCATTCGGTGGGTCATGCGATCAACATCACGCCGGCTACCTCTACTTCCCAGGACTTTACCTGGTACCCATTTAAGGCTGGATCGACCTGTCAGCCAAGGTCATTTCTGAAAAAAAAGTCTAGGACCGTTCAGATTGCAACCCACCACCATTGAATCGGCAGGCGAGCCTCTGGACGCTACACCAAATAGCTGAAGCCCCCGTCAGAGGTATCCTTGTGTGATTTCTCAACAGCTGGGACGCAGTGTCATTGTTGTTCACTTTATTATCTACGAGTGTGTAATGTATATGTGCGACAGATGTCGGAGACTAAACACTTTAGAGTCTACGCATTTTCCTAGGAGAGCAGACATTCTTTGCTGCGTAAGTTGAGTTCATTATTATTATTATTATTATTATTATTATTATTATTATTATTATTATTATTATTAATATTATTATTATTATTATTATTTATTATTATTATTATTATTATTATTATTATTATTATTATTATTATTATTATTATTGCTGCTTTTTTGATGCGTGGTTGATTGCTTGCACGATTGATTAGTTGGTTGATCAGCTCGTCGCTTGGTTAGCTGGTTGACTGGTTGGTTTATTGTAAGCTTGGTTGGTTGGTGAGTTGTTTGAATGGTTGGTTAGTGAATTAGTTTTCTGGTTGGCTAGAGATTAGATGGTTGATGGGTGGGTAGATTGGTTTCATGGTTGATTGACTGGCTCGAGATTTGATGGGTGGGTAGATTGGTTTCATGGTTGATTGACTGGTTCGAGATTTGATGGTTGATGGGTGGGTAGATTGGTTTCTTGGTTGATTGACTGGTTCGAGATTTGATCGCTGATGGGTTGGTAGATTGGTTTCATGGTTGATTGACTGGTTCGAGATTTGATGGGTGGGTAGATTGGTTGACTGGTTCGAGATTTGATGGTTGGTTTTTAGATTGCTTGGCTGGTTGGTTGAATAGTTCGATAGTTTATGTAATAATTTCTGGAAGATTGTATCTGTTAGCTCTGAAAACCGATACACTCACGTTAGGGTCAATTGATCCCAGTATATAGGCACGTAGTTGTGTAGATAAGTAGGTAGATACTTAGGTAGGTAGATATGAAGGTAAAGGTAGGCAGATATGTAGTTAATTTTTAGCACATACGTAAGTATATAGGTAGACATATATATATATATATATATATATATATATATATATATATATATATATATATATATATATATAGGTATGTAGGTAGATATATAGGTGGGTGGTTATGTAGGTAATTAGTTAGGTAGATATGTGGGTATATAATAAGGTATATATGTAGATATATAGATATATAGATGCGTTGATATTAGATACTACGTAGGTAGATATGTAGATAGATAGATAGATAGTTAGATACGCAGGTAGACATATAGACATATACCAAGACAGGTTGACAGATAGGTTAAGAATATTTAGCCATATATGTGGTAAGCAAGTAGGTAGGCAGTTAGTAAGAAGGAAGGAGTGTACAATCCAGTTTTGTCTTGTTCAGGAGCCATGGTTTACCACACTTTAACAGCCGCCATATTTACAACTATTATCATGGCATCTATGGTAGTCCTGACCTCCACAGAAATATATACCTCATCGTTTAAAGTGCAGAGGATGGTGAACGAGGAAAAGAAGGTGCTGGAGCTAATGAAAAGTTACATTGATCGTCAGCAAGAGAGGCTAAATTTGTTATCTAAGTGAGTTTTTTTTTTTTTTTTTAAACTCGTACTGTGTAATTTATTTGATTACTACAGTAAAAGGAAATATGCGCCTTTCATGTGTGCGATAGTTCCATGTTATGCGGGTGTAGGAGGAAACGAATACACTGAAAGACTTGCTGGTTCAGCTTATTTAGTAAGCTGGCAAGCCATGAGCTGCGATTTCCCAGACCGGTGCGGACTTCAAGTTACGCTATAACGGTCGGAGGCTCCCAGTGTGTGTAACCTTACGGTTGAACTCGGGTTACCGGCATATGTACATATTGGTTTCTCATCTGCAATGAGCCGTCTTCTACTTGCACTAAGTAGCTGATGGCCTTGTGCTTGTTGTCTATGAGATGATGTGTCTAGTGAATGATCTTAGCACACATTCTTACGATGACATAACTGGGACAAGCCGACACCGACTTCAAAGTACGATACAGTTTATTGACATCTCATCACTTACATAGACAGTCCTGTCCGTGTCCTAATTCATAGCTTACATGCACCACATTGTTCAGACGCCAACACGCTTGGTCGTCCCCTATCTTAAAAACCTCGGTTAATCCGAGTATCCGGCTTCTCTTGGTATTATTGTTATCTTGGGGCTTTCTCCCCAACCTTTCTAATCAGGGTGAAAATATCCCCCATTACATCATCACTGTTACTCCTGCTGACTGCAATCCTGGACGGGACAAACTGCAGTGCAAACATAAACTGAGCTGATATAGTGAATGAATTAAATGAATAGAGTGATTGCTGTGAATGTGCACCGTTGACAACACTCTACTTTTTACTTGCCCGAAGAGCATAGCTACCGCTTGAATATAGATATATCACTCTAACTACAGTATTCTCTAAAAGTATTAATCGTATTTAAAGAAAAGTCGACTTTAAAGTATTTGCTTTTTCTGAGAGGCAAGAAACCAGCAGTCTGAATACAAATAAGTCAGATCTGTAAAACGGATGATCCGCAACACTGAGGTTCTGGAACAAGACTGCATTCAGAAGTGGATGAACAACCAGAACTTTCCGTCAGTTAACAGCAGGTGAACGCGAAAAAGACGAAGAAAATAGTGTTTACTTTATAAAGTTTTGTTTGTTTGTTAAATAGTATCAGCTTTAAATAATATCTTCTTTATTGAACTTTCCCACCAAAGTTTCTACACAAATCGTCTTCGAGAGTTGGACCTACGAGAAGAGTTCCACCTAGACCCCAAGCATCCGAACACTGTGTACAACGTCATCAAAGAGTACGCATCTATTTACTCCCGCGTCCTGAATGAAAAAATTGGTGAGTTATTTAAATATTAACTCTAACAAAATAGCAGACACGCCACAAAAAAAGCTAAGATTTTAGCCGTGTTCATATTTCTTCCAGTCTCTAGATAATTTACATGACGCAAGCAATATCTGGTATAGCAGGGTTTTACTCCTGCAACCTGCGAAGTACCGAAACCTTTTTAGGCATATTTATTCCCGCTCGACTGAGAAATATATAGTTCCGTCGTCTAGCTAATGAGCATTTATAAAGACCGAACGTCACTCGATGTGTGATATGGTCATCAGGCGGCCGCATTCACTTTTAAGGACATTACCTGGTACCCATTTTAAACTGGGTCGATCTTGGAGCCAATGTCAATTTTGACCCCAAAGGAATAGACTCAAAATTGATTTGAACCCGAGATATTCGTGGCTGCCACGCATTCTGCCACAAGCTCTTCAGCCTCGTGTACTTTCCTACCTAATGTGTCACTTATATCCTTACCCATCTACGTGGTGGTCGATCCCTGCCCCTCTTTCCTGGTACCATGCCTTCTGCTTTTATTTTATCCAATCCACCACGCCACTTGCTTTGATCAAAATAATGTAATTTTCTGAGACAAGATGCTGTTTACTAGCCAAGCATCCTCAATATTGAGATCTTTTATCATGTCAGTATTTCTTTTCTTTTGAGCCCATGACATTCTGAGAAGTTTTCTATAGCATTTCAGCTCCAAAGTTGCATTTCTCCCCTTAATGATTGCCAGAGTCCACGACTCGCAACTGGATTTTGCGAAACAAGGGCATCCAAGAAAAAATTCTGCGACGATCGTTGATGAAAGAGATCGGAAATGTTGGATTGGATTTCATTCGTGATTTCCAAAGGATTGTTTGCATAGACAGAACGGAATGGAGATATTGGCTACTTGTCCATTGTGGAATAAATAATCCACAGAACAGGATTCTAATAACGAAGAAAACAATGTGGTGGGGGGGGGGGGTGTAATTTGTTTTTCTTATTTGTAACAATGATGAGACCAAACAGCATATTAAACTTTTTTTTAGAATAAGGAAGAAACGGAAAATGTTATAGCTAAAACCTCCAAAAAGATGGACAAATCTATCACCCAAGCCACTCGAGAAGCGCAAGACATGCATAAAACCACGACACTGGGCTACAACCTGGTATCACTGAGGCGACAAAACAACGACACTGGGCTACAACCTGGTATCACTGAGGCGACAAAACCACGACACTGGGCTACATCCTGGTATCACTGAGGCGACAAAACCACGACACTGGGCTACAGCCTGGTATCACTGAGGCAACAAAACCACGACACTGGGCTACAGCCTGGTATCACTGAGGCGACAAAACCACGACACTGAGCTACAGCCTGGTATCACTGAGGCGACAAAACCACGACACTGGGCTACAGCCTGGTCTCACTGAGGCGACAAAACCACGACACTGGGCTACAGCCTGGTATCACTGAGGCGACAAAACCACGACACTGGGCTACAGCCTGGTATCACTGAGGCGACAAAACCACGACAATGGGCTACAACCTGGTATCACTGAGGCGACAAAACCACGACAATGGGCTACAACCTGGTATCACTGAGGCAACAAAACCACGACACTGGGCTACAGCCTGGTATCACTGAGGCGACAAAACCACGACACTGGGCTACAGCCTGGTATCACTGAGGCGACAAAACCACGACACTGGGCTACAGCCTGGTATCACTGAGGCGACAAAACCACGACACTGGGCTACAGCCTGGTATCACTGAGGCGACAAAACCACGACACTGGGCTACAGCCTGGTATCACTGAGGCGACAAAACCACGACACTGGGCTACAGCCTGGTATCACTGATGCGACAAAACCACGACACTGGGCTACAACCTGGTATCACTGAGGCAACAAAACCAAGACACTGGGCTACAGCCTGGTATCACTGAGGCGACAAAACCACGACACTGGGCTACAGCCTTGTATCACTGAG